ACACTTATCAAGTAACTACATCCCTGAAGAAAATGTTAATCTGCAACAAAATAAGATTAGATAGCCATTTCAAAACAAATGAACTATATAAATTGTTTTTTATTGCTTCAAAGATAGCTCCTAATCATTTTCAAAAAAATAGATAATCAGCTACTTCTCAACAATAGGTTAAGATAATTCCTGATGCTTTAGAGTTCAGTATCTATAGCTGATTGAAGTCTGATATCCTACTGCCTCCTGAAGTATCATATGAAACATATAACATTAATTTAGCATACATTAAAATTAACTTAGCCTGGGTAAATGTGAAATGAAAGATAATTTAAATTTTGAGCACCATCAGGAATAGTAGTTCCCCAAACCAAGGGTAGGACCCGATCTGAAACTGCTTCCAAAAGAAAATCACCACAGCTTTAAGGTTTTAAAACTACATGTAGAACATACTGCCCCAAACCAGCAACCTAATAATGGAAACCAATTCTTTTCTCCATTTCATACAAAGTTTCACAATACAGTTAAATTAAGAATAGCACAGCAGTATTTTCATTCTAATAGCTCTCTTTATAGTAACAAGATACGCCAAACACATTATAATATGTCTTATTTAAGTGCACTCACCAAAATTGAATTTTTCTGGTCAACTATCCAAGCTGGCAGGGCAATTCCAAAGCTTGTGGCTAAAATAGGAAGAATATTTCTGAAGAGTCTCCGCTTCCAGTTTTATTTATTTATATCCAAAATTTTTTCCTCCCACACCCCCCCAAAAGAAAACTTTGAGAAAGATAATCTTATTATGTATGTTCCCATTATGCAAAAGTTAATGGATATTGTTTATGCCTGAAACTAAATTTTTCCAGGAGGAAAAAAAAAACAACCTCAATCTAAGTACACAAATTCCTTCTTCCTAGAAAATCTAAATTCTTTTATATTTCCTGAGTTTATGTAAACACTAGGAATATAGGAGAAAATGTTTAAAGTCAGCAAAGAAACACATTTTTTTCATCCAATTTTTATCAACTAACTGGAAATGATGAATGACAGTGACTACTCTTCTCATCAAATCAAAGTTCTATCTTCCAAATTAGTCTCTAGAAAGAAAAATAAAGTAAAAATTAACTAAAGGGAACTCAATTTACATATTTGCCTAACTCCTTATGGTTGTAATTTTCCTATTCATAAATCTAAAAAAAAAAATCAAAATAGTCTTTTCAATTTAGTTAACATTTTCATAATATATACCATATCCCCCATATTTTTAACCATAATTTACCACACCTTGTGGTCCATCTGGGTTTCCAAACTCTTCCCAATTTTTCCGGGACTCTTCATCAGTTAAACTAGCATCAAAAGAACAAAGTTTAACAATTAGAAAGCCCCATCTGAGAAATAAGTACTCATATATACAAACTCCATTAACCAACGAACTCATTTCTTAAAGATATTAATTTCAGAGAATCAAGAAAAGCCTCTCTGAAAGTAGAAATAAAGGGGGAGAGGGGAGAAAGGAATTTTGCATAAACAGAAAATGCCAACTATTAAGCCTTGACACAAATTCCTGGTTGGCCCTTGGGTCCTCAAGTTTAGCCATTTCAAGCCAGGAGATGAAATTTTAAAGGCTAATACATTTTCTGAGAAGCAGGGAGGCTTGCACGTGACTTCTTTTTTTTATATGCTCATACATTTTCCAAAATTTCTTCAATGAGCATGTTCATATGTCAGTAATGATATATATTAATACCTATTTTCTATATATAAATTTAATACAAAATTAATAATAATCCCTCCAAAACTGTCACCACATTCTTAAAGAAAATTTAAAAAACACTTTTAAAACTCCATTGCTGTGGAAAAGATCATCTGTATTGTGCTGAGATCAGTTTTCTCCTAATTCAACTGCCAGTAGGACTAGGAAAGTACCTGCTAAAGCAACAGCTTCCTAACCCAGGCAATATGAAAGTGACAGCAGTTTTTTTTTAAACACCTAAATACAAATATAACCGCTGACCTGGGAAATGGTTCAAGGCACAGAGTGAGAGTGGTTTTATTCCAGGTCCCAGTACAGATGTTAAAAAAAACAAAAAAAGAAAATTTTAATTCTTGCAAAAAACCTTAGTGTTGTCAAAGAGAAAAGGCAGACACACACACACAAATAACCAATAATATAATAAGGAAGGCATTCATGTACATCAGCTGGTAAATGATTAATGCTTATGTCCAAATCTAATTTTAGATATTTCTATTTCTCAGAATATATGCACTTAAGATACAATGCAGGTTCTATTCAACCAAGTTCCATAGTGAGAGACAGAATGCAGAAGTACCTTTATAAAACAGCAACTGTAAAAACTATGTATGGTGTCAGATAGGTACTAGACTTATCATAAATTATATAGATGCCTAACCACTATGCAGTACACCTGAAACTGATATAAAATACTACTGAACATCAACTATAATTTAAAAAATATACAGACATGGGATGTAAAGTACACCATAGGGAATATAGTCAATAGTATTGTAATAGCTATATATGGCGTCAGATGGGTAATAGAGTTGTTGGGGTTATCACTTTGTGAGGTATGTAAATGTCTAATCACTATGTTGTTTTATACACCTGAAAACTAATAATAATAATAAAATAAAAAAAGAACAGATGGAAATAAATAAATAAATATAAATGGAAAAAATTTTCAACAAATTTTAAACTTATCAGTTTGGTCATTTATTTATTTATAAAAAATAAGTACCTTGACATCTTTAGTTCTTATTTAACTAACTCCACTTACACTACTTGAAGAAAGAAAGGCCACAGTAAAATACAGGAGCCAATGGAAAGCACCATTAGAGAGACTGCAAGTTAAGGAATGGTGCTAAGATTCTTTTCTGCCAAGGGAGGGATGTTTCTCAAAAAATTTTGCTCTGGTTTACCTATACAATTGTCCACCTCACCCAGAGCTTTAGCTACTATTTCTCTCAATAGTCTGTCTTCTAATTAGATTCTTTTGCCCCAAATTATTATCTGTCCCCTTCTGCCTTTTTGCTGATGGCAGCACAATAAACTGCTCTGTTCTCTATACAATGCCCTCAGTTTGCAAGATAAAGCACAGCTCACATTATAGAAACACTTGATTTTTAACCTGCACACACAGTTGATTACAATTTCATTAACTCATTTATTAATCCAACTTGTACAAATGCTGTGTGACAGGCACCATGCTGGATACTCAATCAAATTAAAGGATCAACTTTTTGAAGAGTCAGTGTAAAAAAGCAACTGATTTTTTGCTACTTATTAGTGCTTTAGTATACTACCATTCCTAAAACTCAAACTTAAAAAGCTATGTGATTTGTTAATTCATATACAACAAGCTTAAACAAGTCCAATGATACTAATTTTTAAAAATTCAATGAGTATCAAGGGCCGGCCGAGTGGCTCAGTTGGTTAAGAGCTCGCTCAAGAGTTTGAGCTCTGAGCAACAGCGGTTCGAGTCCCAGCCCGAGCTGAGCAGNGAGCGAGCGAGCTAGTAAAAGGGAATAATAGAAATACTGATCAAGAAATGTGACAAAGCGTGTTAGCATTTTCTTCCAGCTTTAGTTATATGAACCAATCAAGTATCTATAAAACTGTAAACAGGAATTTCTCCAGTTGAATGTATATCAACTACATAAATGACTCATAAATAATTTAATGACACAGTTATTTAAATTTACTTACGTTTCATATCCATATTTCGTGTTTTATAAACAAAATATGTATAAATCTGTGTTGTACGTATTAGAATCTGATCTCCGCTATAGCGTATTGAGCGATACCACCAAGAGCCCTAAAACACAAATAAAATTAACAAGAAATAAAGCATGAAAATAAATGTTAAGTTTGATACAGCATATGTTTATGGTCAAATTTTCTAAATGTTCAGAAGCCAATAAAAATATCTGAGCTTTAGAACAAATGCCTTTGTTATACATTTCAAATGATTTATTTAGCAAATATTTACACTGCCTGATACCTAAATACCAACCTACCTCACTACATATATATGATTAAGTTTCAGCTTCAAATTGAAGACAAACTAGGAATGAAACAAGCTATTACTATAAGCAACAAGCTGGTTCTTGACACATAGCATGTCTTCAATATTTGATAAATAAGTGTAGGAGCAACTTTACAATTGATATACTCCTTTCATCCACATTATTCCATACAATTGGATCCTCATACAACAATCCTATGAAGGCAAGATAGGTTATTAACCTCATTATGGGAATCGGGTGTTATAAGATCAGAAGGAACACCACCAGTCAAAAAATAATAAACATAAAATCATAAATGTATGATATCTCCACGTTGAGATACTATGTAACTTTTTAAAAATGATGTTGCTCTATATGTTGTGGTCCTAATATATGAAGCAAAAAAATAAAAAGTCACAAACAATACACATAGTAAGATCACCTTTTTAAAAAAATGTGCTTGTATACATAATGCATAGAAGAATAATTGAAAGGGAAAACACCCAACTTAGCGGTGATTACCTCTGACAGAGAAATGGAGTTGAGGGAGGTAGTGAAGAACACTTTAATTTTAAACACTAAATACATCTGTATTATCTCAGTTGTGTGTAACTTTGGGATTCGGAGGATATATTTTTTAACTTACTTATGTGATGTCACCTTTAGAAGACCTTTGAAGTATAGTTGAATATAAGATTCTGAAAATTCAAGGATCAACGGATTACATCCTAATACAAATTACATTCTCATAGGTAGACTTCAAAGCATGCCATCAACTCTCTTTCCAAAAAAAAGTTATGAAAAAGAGCCAGAACTTACCACAACAACAGGAAGGATAACCATGAATGCCAATCCATATACAAGTAAAACCTAGAAGTGAAAAGAGAAAAATATGGCCTTCATCAGGCAAATTATAACATCCATGAACACTTACTTTGAGGCTTACATGGGGGAGGCACTATTAAAAGCATTCGTCATGTATTATTTCTTTTAATCCTTACTTTCAAACTCTACGAGGAAAGTAACATTATTGGGTTGTCAGAAAAGTCATGTCGTATTTTGTCTATGTTTTCCAAAGGACATTTATT